CAATCTTCTTCCTTTCCCAGGCCAGATTCCCACACGGCTGCAGAATTGGCGCAAGCATAACCACCCGTTCTCGCTCTCCTTCCTGGAAGAGGTCATTAATTACCTTGGCCTGGGCGACGTCCACAAAGCCATCGCCCTTTTCGTGGAAAAAGTGGCAGGCTATGCCAACCCTGGGTTGCTGCAGAGGTAGGCTTTCGTCTCCTGTCTTTTCCCTCCCCAAAAAAGTCAATAGCAAAATGCGGGCATCATATCAGAGGCCTCCTCTGATGCGGGCATCAAATCAGCCTCCTTTAACAAATGCATTTATTTTACATTTGTTTGCAGGTCCTGTTTTTATTTTTATTTTTTAATCCATCCATCTCCCTCAAAGAGGGTGCTGTACGGCGTAACTTAATAAATAAAACAAATGCATAAAAATTAACGATAAAGTTAAGTTAGGGTTAAACGTTACGGTTTAAAGTTAGGGTTTAAAGTTGCCAACAGAAAGGGAGGGTGGAAAAGGAGTTTGAAAGAGGAGTGTAGCAGTTTGGAAGTGAAAGTAACATTCCATGCATACATTGCAAAGATTATAACTAAGCGACTGTACACAAAACTCCAGTTGGAGATCATGATTGATGACGCTTGGCTATGGACGTGTTTGGTTGTGGAATATGAATTCTGATACCCCCAGAGGGGTGGGTTGGAAACCAGGGTCAAGGGTGACAGTGAATTACGTGTCACAGAACCAGCTACACCCAAGTCAGGCCAATATGTCGCTCCTAACGAATTCTTCGAAGCTTTTCGAAGTTTGGCTCAAGGCTCGGGATTGAATGAGGGCGATCGCTGGAATCCTGACACTGTCGAATTAAAAAGTCAAAAGGGGAAAATCTTAAGATGGGCGTTTAATGTTGGGTTATTACAGGTGGGTTGGGAGGGAGGGGGGCTCTCAAGGGACTAGCCGGGCCCCCACTATTGTGGGGTCCTTTTCACTGGTCCCAAATGTTGGCGCTCTTTTTTTAGGCGGGGGGGAAGGGAGGGGGGGGGAAATAAAGCCGTTTTCTCAAGAGCATCTCCGCCGACGTGAACAAATGGCTCCTTCTTTGTTTCAGGAGTGTTTATCGTGAATTTTTGTTCCTGAAAATAGCAGCGCTGGGCAGGGAGCGTGTGGACATTGGTAAGAAGTTGGAGGGAGATGGACAATGCGGGTTGAAGGGAACGGGGGGTGGTGGTGGACAGACACATCCCTATAATTTGGAGGGCTGGGAGGAGAAGGGTGGCCTCGCCGTAGCATTTTGGGGATCCGTCCGTCCCTTTGGGACTTTTTTGGTCGGGATGCCTCCTTGAGGACTAGCACCTTGGCTGTGCCGAGTGTGATTCATAAAGGGGAAAAAAAAGGCCACTGGAATCTCTCATCGTAAGCATGAGACCCTTGTTAGTACACAGCATGTTTTATAAAGCGGGGGATGGGACAATTTTCCAGCTTGAGGACTAGTATCTTGGTGTGCTTCATAAAAGAGAGGGGAAAATGCTACCAAGACGTCTTACTTTGAGGACTAGAAGCTTGCCCATGTCCAGTATATATTATAAAAGGGGGAAAAAATACCATCAGGCTCTCCCGCTATTGAGGACTAGTATCTTACCCACGAACAGTTTGTATTATCGAAAGTGGGGAGGGGGGGAAATGCCATTAGGATCTCTCACCATGAGGACTAGCACCTTTCCCCTGCCCAGTGTGCTTAATAAAAGGGAGTGGGGGAGAAAACCTTTAAGATCTCCTGCCATGAGGACTAGCCCCTTGCCGTGCCCATTGTGTCTCATACAAGGGGAAAGGGGGGAAAAAAATGACGCTACCAGGATCTCCAACTTTGAGGACTAGCAACCCGAGGTCGTTTTAACACACAAAAAAGAGGAGGGTGTGGGGGGGAGACTCTTTTTTTTTTTTTTTGGCAACCATTTTACAAGCTTTCCAGCCACTGTCACTAAGCGAATCCTCCCCGTTGAGGTCGTTAAGCGAACCCGTTCTTTCCCCCCACCCCACCCGTCGACTTCACTGGTCAGGAGGTCCGCAAAAAAAGGGAGGGATCGCATCAAACCCCCCCTCCCCTCCTTGGCAAACACGTTTGTCAAGCGCCTGAAAAACGGCCGTGGCAACGCTGAACGGTCGCTAAATGAAACACCCCCTTTCTCTCTCTCTCTCTCTCCCCACCGCACCGCAGCCGAATTTGACAAGAAGTACAAATCGGCTTTTTCGAAGCTGGCCAACAGCCTGGGGAAGGAGAACCTGAGGCAGAAGAGGGCCCAGCCCCTCACCACCAAGGCCGTGGATTGCCGGAAGAGTTTTGGGGCCAACCTGGAGTGCTAGCGGGAGTGGGGGGCCGTCTGGTTGCCCTCCCCAGCCCCCCTCCTCAAAACCCATGCATCTCTCCCTCTGCTGCTGCTGTCTGGGACAAAAGACACACAAAAACAACCAAGGATGAAACTGGAGCCGATAACAAATTCGGGGAGGGGGGCACCGCCTAGGCTGTTCCCAGCACCCCTGGGCCCTTCGGCGTGGGGGGGAGCGTGCGTGCAGGGGGTGGGGGTCCCAAAATGGAGACGAGGGGGTGGGGGCCTTCCTTTCACCCCTCGGAGCTGCTGCGTTGCCCTCTTCCTCCCGAGGAATTGGGGAGGGGGCGGCATTTCCTGGCTCACCTCTGCACTTTGCACACGCCTAAGGGCTCGGGCTCCCCACACACACCTAGGCACCCCAAATCTCTCCTGCCTTCCCCCCCCCCAAAAAAACCTTGGTTTTTTTTTTTTTTTGTGCGCAGTGTCCGTTGCGGAATTGGGGTGAATTGGAATGGAGTGGGGTACAGTTATGCCCCGCCCCACCCCGTGAAGGATGACGCCCCTCAGGTCGCCCCGCCCACCCCTTTCTCTTCCACCCCTCCCCCAATTCATGGGGGGGGGTGAGTTAATTGGGGAGGGGGTCGCCCCTTCCCCTCTCTCTCCCCCTCTCCCCCTCTCGCTTTGTGATTTTTTTTTTAGTATTATTTTTACCGTCAGTGTTATACGAAAAGTGGGGGGGGGAAAGGAACATAAAATGGAAAAGAAGAAGCTATTTTGTAAATTTATTTATTACAGAGCCCCCCCCCCAGTTTTCCCTGTCCTCCCCCCCCCCCCCAATTTTGTGGCACGTGCTTTAACTGTAAGGGCGCCCCCGTTCGCGGAAAGTTGGTGGCGCGCCGTCTTTCTGTTCGTAGAAAGGGTGTCGGGACCCCCCACCCTCCCCCCCGCAAGGGGTTTCTTTCCCCCCCCCCCCCCTCACCTCAGGCCTCGGTCCCAGCAATATGGACCCCCCAACCCAGCCAGCCCCTCGTTGATGTGTTTCTGTTAACTGTTCGAGTTGGGTTTTTTTTTGTTTTCCAACGTTCTTCTCGTCCTGTAAATAAAAAAAAAGGCCTCTGTATTTTCCTTCCGGCCTCTTGTCTCCGTTTCATGAGGGTTTCTGAGAACGCGCGGAGGGCTTTCCCTATCTGGGCTGAAGCTATGGGGTGGGGGGTTCAGTTCTCAGCTTTATCATCATCTTTTAACAACCCCGTAATCCCTTGCGGGGCGATGTCTGGGCAACTGAATGGAGGTGTGTGTTTTTACAGGCCGGATGCTCTTCCTGTCACCAGGGCGGAGTCTTGTTCAGCAGAGGATATTCTCATTGTGGCCAGAGAGAGAAATACTAGGCTGTATCTAGGATCAGGCCATCGCACCACTCGGTTTCCAGTTTTATGCTGGATTCACACCAGATTTAATCAATAGAATTGGGACAATGCTGGAAGGCTCCGAGAGGGCCTTGGAGATCATCTAGTCCAACAGTCACCATCCTTTGCGGCTTGGTGCAAAGAGGGGAATTGGGCTTCCAATGCCCAAATATTTGCACACCGTGTCCCCCGCTAAGCAAGACAGTTGTTAAGTGAGCAGCTCTCCAATCTACATCCCCTTTGTTCCTCAAGGTTGTTGAGTGAATCAATGCGGACGTTAAATGAATTGGCTCCCTCCCATTGCTTGCAGGAAGCCAGCTGGGAAGGTCCATGGAGATGCTGAAACCGTCATAAGTGTGAGGAGTGGCTGCAACTTGTTTCAATGCCATTGTAATTTCAAACGGTCATTAAATCCTTTAATGCAGGGACGGAAACCCATCAATGGCAGCTTCTTTGGCAACAAACCATGGTTTATGCAAGCCAACTTTGTTCCTAAGCAATGGGAGGTTTCCAGATTTGCGCAATCCCAGCCAAATTGTGGTTTAGTCAATTAACCAGGATGGAGTAAACTGTGGCTTCTCCTGGGATGGCCCCAAGGGGTCATAGATGCAAGCCAGGTTTGGGTCTCGTTTAAAGCAAGCCATGGTCTGCCTGTTGCCAACCTGAAGCCATGCAAAGGCAGCTTAGGACTCGTGCAAGCCAGGAAGCAACACAACCACGATGTATTTGGGAGATGCAATTGTTACACATTTTAATTAAGAGGGTTTATTTTTCCCGTATTAAAAGCAAGGCAACGCGGCCTACGGTGGCCGCCGAGGGCCGGAATTAAAAAAAAAAAAACCGCCCCGGGGCGCCTCCAGACGCCTCTCCCCCTCCCGCCGACACATCTTCCATGAGGCCGAGTACCCGGATGTGGCGGCTTAATATTAAAAAAAAAAGAGGGGGGTCGCTCCGCGGAGGGAAGCTCCGGTGCCGCTGGTTGGCCTCGCCCGACGCCAGTCACCCGGTGGCTTGAGCCAATGGCTGCCCTCCCCCGGCCCCCCGCGAGCCTGTCTCGCCGCCCCATTGGCCGCGCGGCACGTCGCTCCCACACGGTGCCCAACGGCCGTCGTCGCTGGCGTCCCGGAAGGCGGGTCGCGGCCGGCGGGGCCCGCCGCCCAATCAAACGCATTGTTTGTGGTGGGTGCCGGCTCCGGCGGCGGCGGCGGAGGTGTCGGTGTCGCTGCTGGTGGCGCCGCGTCTGCTGTCCGCCGCCCGGCCCCCCCCCTCCCGCGCCCTCCCGCCGCCGCCGCCGCCTCGGCCGCCGCCGCCCTCCCGCTCGGCCTGAGGGAGCCGCCGACGCCGCCAGGTGAGTGGAACCCGGAGGGGGCGGGGCCGGCGCTTGATTGACAGCTCGGCGGCCTATGGGGATCCCCGCTAGCCTCGGAGGGGGGGGCGTCTCCAGACCTTGGAGGGGGGGGTGTCAATCAAAACTTGGGGGGGGTCTCAATTAAGGGGTGCATTTCCATCCTGAACCCCCCCTCCAGGGAGACCCCACTCTTAGGGGGGGCACGTGGGGCGGGGGTCCCCTTGTTGGGGGGGGGGAGCAGCCCCCTCCCCATAGAGTCACTGGCAGGGGTTTTTCCTATGGCCATTCGACATCTTTGGCTCCCCTCGCTTGTCTGCGCCCCCTCCCCACCTTTAAGAAAGCCCCCTTGGGCTTGGGGGGGCGAGGGAGGGGATGAATGGGGGTCTCTCTCCCCCACTTTGGGTTGGGGGGGGGTGTCTTTGTTGCCAGATGTGGGGTAGGAGGGCTATTGAATTGCCTGGAGATCTTGGATATTGGGGGGGGGGGGGGGT